CCCGCGGGATGGGTGAGCCCGGAGGGGAGCGGGGCTGGGCGTGGGACCTCCCGCGGGAGGCTGCGGGCTGGCCGGGGGCGCTTTGCGGGGCTACGGGGCTCGTCGGTCTAGGAACGAGGATGTGGCTTTCGTGGCTGGAATGACAACTCTGTCCCCGTTCTGTCTCACTTGAGCCAGGAACAGGAATCTCCTCGCTGCCTGCTGACCCGCTCTTGTGCAGAGCTTCTCCCCCCCACCCCAGACGAGAAAGCCTCTAGTAAGCCCACAAGAGATTCACAGTTTGTTAATGAGGTAGCTCGGCTGGAAAGCCCAAGGAGCCTGAGAGGAAAGGGGAGACCATTTCAAAGCTAAAACTAAAAGAGCAGCAGGGAAAGTTTGGGTTAGATATCAGGAAAAGGTTTCTCACCCAGGGGGTGGCTGAGCAGTGGCACAGGCTCCCCAGGGAAGTGGTCACTGCATCAAGGCAGACAGAGTTCAAGAAGTGTTTGGACAACACTCTCAGGCACATGGTGTGATTCTTGGGGTATCCTGTGCAGGGCCAGGAGCTGGACTTGATCCTAATGGGTCCCTTCCAACTGAGCACATTCTATGATTTTGATTCTATGATTCTATGACTAAGTTTGCACTCTTAACTTTCACTTATCTCCTTCCCCTTGCACAGTGCTCCATCAGACAAAGCATTCCAGTATTCAGCTTCCCTTGCAATTAACATTCTTTTTCTGCTGAGTGGAACAGGAACCTTCCTGCTGTCCTGCATAAAAGACACTGGGGCTTGCACTTGGATGCAAGATTTTTTTGTCTGAGTCTGAGGCTAATTCCGTGTATCCCAAAGTCCAGTTTGTTAAACGAGGGTTTTACAAAACCTGATACACCTCGAAGTGCTTTCAAAACTCTTTACCACAATATGCAAACATTCTCCCTGGGTGCTGCTCGTGCAAACAGCAGCTGCTGGGCGGGTTGAGCTGTGCTGAGGTGCACGAGATGTTCAGAAGTTTGCTGTGACCCAGCTGGCTTGGGGACCAGCAAGGGAAGATGTGGTGTCACAGGTGGGAAGGCAGGGACAGCCTCCCCAGAGCCATCCAGCAGGGACTGCCACTGAAGGGGAGGTGCAAGTGACTGCAAACCTGCACTGTGAGCTGGCATGTTACTGCAGGTTCATTTAAGAGTTGTATTCAATTTTAATATTTAATATGTTATAACCAGACAAGTTTCAGAACAGCAGTCAAACTTTTTGTCACAGTACAAAGCTGAATTGGGGAAGGTCTGCACCCGTGACCATCGTGCCTGTGGTGCAGGCACACCCCTCTGACACAGGCAAAAATAAACAGGTTGGGTGAACAATAAAGAACACAAGAACCTGTGATTTTTTTTTTTAAGAGCCTTTTCAATCCCCCCACGTTTTGACTTAATAGGGCACTTAGGAGAAACATTTAAATAATCATTATTATACAAGTATGGGAATACGTTTCTTGTCTCTGCTCTGCAGACCAGTGGTACCAACTCTTTTTTTGTTCCAACTCATAGTTTTGGGATGCTTGAGATGGGCCATACTGGATCACATGTATCCTTTCAGTGTTAATCTGTTGGATCTCTGGCTGCAACATGGGCAGCAGTTGATGAAACATTTTGGTTTTGTTCCTTCTCCAAGTTATAGAGAACCTGAAAAGTGTTTCAAACCATCTATCTGGTTTGCAGGTTAAATAAATGCTTTCCATTCATATCCTCTAATTTCAATGGAAATAAATTATGTAAAAATATGTTTTCTAAAACCTTGCATCTGATTCAAACTGACATTTTGGATGAGCTGTGTTGTGAATTGGAGATGTCATCCATGCATGGTTCCCCACTATGCAGAGAGCCAGAGAGGACCCAGAGTCCTCATCAGGTGCTGGGCAAACCCACCCTTGGCTGCTTGATCTGCAGTTTCCCTGAACAATTCCTTCCTTCTGAATTTAATTCAGTGTGAGAAGGAAGAAATTACACTTTTCTCCATGGTCACTCAGCTTTCATTTACCTGCCCAGCCATTTTCTGGAGGCTTCCTGGTCTCTGACAGAGCAAGAATTATTATTAGCACAGACAACAAGGAGGTGAGGTCCTGGGGAGCACAGGCAGAGCTTTATGGTGTGTTTACAAAAGGTGGCCAAAAAGGTGACATCAGTATGTACAGAAGTGCAGCTGCCACGTCGGCACTGTGCGTGGCTGTGGGTTATGGTCATCTGGGAACAAAGGTGCAAACCTGCTGTGGTGTACAGCAGGGATAATTTGGGGTGTGGGAGGGGAAATCTTCCTTTGTGGTTCTTAAAGTACACCTTTCTTATCTACCATTTATGATCAATGGGTATCCTGGGCCTGCTGAAGTCAGTGTCTTTGTCCCGAGGCTCCACAGATGAGAAGGTCTGGAGTGGTGGATCCACCAACCCTTCACGTGTGCCGGCACGTTTCTATCTTGACTCTTTCCTTCGATGCCTTCCTCCTTCTCCTCCCCTCCAGACCGTGTGCTCTGGCAGTGCTGCTTCCCCATCTGATCCTTATCTGGCTCTTGGCTGCCGGGCTTGCGGGGAGCGTTCCTGCCTGGAACGCAACTCCAGGGCTGAGCCGCAGGAATGCGCCGCCCGGAGAGCCCGGCGTTTGGAACGGCAGCCTGTGTGTGGAAACACAACCCGCCTGTGAGGGCTGGAAAACCTTACCCTCCACCTCTGGGCAGATAGGGGAGGCTTTAAAATCCCAAGTTAGAATACAAATACAACGGGAGGAGGAAAGCCATCCTGGTAAGGGGAAGACACGGTGCTCAGCAGGGCTCACCGCACACTCGAGCTCCGTCTCTCTGATTATGAATGACCCTTAGGAAGGGCTTTTGAGGCACCAATCTGACCAAACTCTATTCAGTTATCAACAAACACAACCTCAGAGACAGCAAGGGCCTTAGATGGGCGCGAGGAGCCACCCGGGCCTGATGTAGCCCAAATTCACCTTTTCCCATCTGAGCTCTGAGGATGGCAGCCTCCATCCTTGAATCAGCTGGGGGGGTGTGATGGGAGATCTGCTCGTAGGGCCAGGGATTCCACAGGACAGCAGGGAGGAAGGAGCCCACCTTGGTTTCCATTAGCTTGGTTTGCTGAGCTGCAATTTTTGACTTAATTACGTTGTTTGTGAAAGGAGAGTTTGTAAACTCTTGTCACCAGGAGAACAAAGTTACATAATTAAACTATTTAGCAGAGTCTGTGGCTTCAGTGCAGTTCTCTGGGGTGATTCAGCCTTCCAGTAAAAATACTGTGTGATACCATAAATATTGTAAATGGCTCTAGATGGTTTCCAAGGGCTATGTCAACTGCTTTTTTTTGCGTTCAAAGAGAAAAGAATAAGTGAAATCACGGGGAAGATAAAATTTAAATAAATAAAATAAATGGGAAAATAAAGCAAAAATATTTTCGTTGGTATTTTGAAAGCTCTGGAGGATGTTTTTGGCCAGCATGAGCGGAGATTGTCATGTTTTCCAGAATAATGAACCGAGGGTGTCTCTGTGCACTTGCTTATAGGTTATATATGAGTGTCTGTGGGGGCATCTGAGCACGGATGCTTAGATAAAATCTGCCCACAACATGGGGAAAACCTTTCTCGTTATTTGAGTGTTTGTGGCACTTGCAAATTCCAGCCACAGAGCCCAGGAATGCACCTCTTTTCCTGGCCAAGCTGTCAATCTCCTGCCACAGTGAGGACAGCTGAAGGAGGATGCCACGGGTGGCCAGACTGGAGGGATTGGATTATCTGTATCATTGAAAACTTGGAGAGGTTCTTTAAAAGTTGTTACTGAAGCAAGATAAATATTTGCCAGGCATGGTCCCACCATGCAATGACAAGTAAGCTGTATGGAATGTGTTAATAAAATATAAATGCTCTGAAAAGGAAACAAATGTTGTGGATTTGAAAACAAGGGCAAAATGGACTTGTGACACCTCCAAAAGCAACAATTGAAAACATATTTACATGAACTGGGCTGAATTCTCTTGCCTATCTTCCGAGGAATGTAAATTGCAGCATGTGCAGATCAGCCAGTAGAGCAGTGGGTTTTCAGGGTGCCATAAAAAAACCAAATACTGCTCCAACTAATAATGAGGTTTTTCCACCTTCTACTAAGATGGAGATGTGGGGCTTGACTGCTCAAGGAAGGGGGAGTCACCTGGCTGACTGACTGAGGAGCCTGTGACAGACCTGGGGCAGAAGCTTTGGTGCTGCCCAGCGTGGGGACCTGAGGTCACACCACGCCCTGCTGCAGGCTGGCAATTCCCTGCAGCCTACGGGCAAATCCCTTCTCTTCCCCAGCCACAAATGGGGCACGGATCTGCACGGGCTCCAGCAGAGGCTTTGGCACATGACGGGCCAAGAGCCAGTGGTGGATCACCCTGGTGCTGATGTCGTCGTGGTGATGTCCCAAAGGTGGAGCATCCTGGTGGTGATGTCCCAAAGGTGGAGCATCCTGGTGGTGTTTTCCCAGTGACGGGGGGATGATGGCCAGTGGTGGGGTCCCTGTGGTGATGCCCCAGTGGTGGAGCATCCTGGTGGCAGGGGGCTCTGACGTGGCACTGGGAACACCTCGGAGGGGAGACACGAGATCCCACCTGCTACTTTGGGAAGACGCACATCCAGCATCACCCTCACAAGCCCGGGTACAGCTGCCGGACTCGGTCTTGCACTGGCAGAAACACAGAACGCACCGGCTGGGGGAGGCTCAGGAGCCATCCCACCATCCTGCAGGTACTCAGGGCAGCAGGATTTATGGGGAGCAAGCACAGAGCGGGTTTTTGGAAGAGGGAACACCGCGCACCGCAGGGACACAGCGGGGCGGGGCGCGGCACGGGGGCGGGGCGGGGGCGGGGCTTGGGGCGTTCGGCCGTTTCCGCCCCGGGGAACCGAGCGCTGACGGAGATGTCCGGAGATGTCCGGAGATCGCCGAGCGTTGCCGAAGCGGCGCCCCGCGCAGGCGCGCTGCGCTGTCGCGGCGATGGCGGCGGCCCCGGCGGAGGCGGGCGGGGAGCCCTCAGTGCCGGCCGGGCCCGCCACGGGCGCTGTGGGGGCCGCGGGCCCCGCCGGGAACCACCGCGAGGCCGCGGGGGAGGGAGAGGAGCTGTCGCCGCCGCCGCTGCCGGGGCTGCGGCTGGTGCAGCAGGGCGCCGAGGCGCACGTGTACCGCGGGCTGTTCCTGGGCCGCGCGGCCGTGGCGAAGCTCCGCGTCCCCAAGCGCTACCGGCACCCCGCGCTGGAGGAGCGGCTCAGCCGCCGCCGCATGACACAGGAGGCGCGGTCGCTGCTGCGCTGCCGGCGGGCAGGTGGGCACGGGGAGCGAGCGGGGGGGGCTACCCCGGCAGAACGGACAGACAGACGGACACCCCGGGGCGGGGTGAGCGGGGAGGGACAGACGGACACCCCGGGGCAGCCCCCGCAGGACACGTCCTCCGGTGCTCCCCGGCTCTGCCCGCGGCTCAGAGCAGATCGCAGGCGCTCGGCACCTCCAGCGCCCACCCTGAAGGATGCGGGGGGTTCTTCTCATCCCGGGGTGACCCGCTCTGCTCGTCCAAACGCAGCTTGTCCTCGGTGTGTCCCACAATGGGACTCTCACCCCAGGAGGGGCTGATCCTGTTACCCAGCTGGAGCTGCCAGCGGGTTATAAAGGCTGCCGGTGCAGGTGGGTCGGGAATAAGTGTTGGCAAGGCCTTTCCAAGGTGTGGGTTGGCGGTGGCCAGGGGTGTTCTCAACCCGAAATTCTGTTCAAGGCTTTTATTGGTTGTGTTTTGGGGATCATGTAAATTAACTGTTAGCATTTGATTTGCCCTTTTAAATAGGGATTCCAGCTCCAGCCGTGTACTTCGTGGATTATGTCACCAACTCCATATATCTTGAAGATATCGTAGACTCAGTTACAGTTCAGGATCATATTTACTCTGTACAGCGGAGTGGAAATGATGCCAGCAGCCTCCAGAGCTTAGCAGAGAAGATGGGTGAGCTGTTAGCAAGGATGCACGATGAAGATATTATCCACGGGGATCTCACAACTGCCAATCTCCTCCTGCGGCCACCCCTGGAGGAGCTGGACTTGGTGCTGATAGACTTTGGACTCAGTTTTATTTCGGGTCTTCCAGAGGATAAAGGAGTTGATTTGTATGTTCTGGAAAAAGCCTTCATTAGCACTCATCCAGATACTGAAGTGATGTTTAAAGCTCTGCTGAAGAGCTATGCAGCCACATCTAAAAAATCTGGTCCTGTCATCAAAAAGCTGGATGAGGTGCGGCTGAGGGGAAGGAAGAGATCCATGATTGGGTAGGAGAGGGCAGGTTTGGGGATGGGGAAATATTACGTTCTGCAAATAGGGTTATTTATATTTCTAGTTGGGTTTATTTTGCATATCACTATTTTGATAACCGTGTCTTCAAATAAATAACTCTGAATGAGTTTAAGTGTCGTAAAGCAACCAAAGTAATTGTGAGATGGGAGCACAGCCAAGAGAGAAACAACTAAAAGTCACTTTTTTCCTAAATGTTAAGTATCTCTTTTACAAAGCAGTTTGCAGTGTCATTCCACTCGTGTTCTTTGTGTGGTTAGAATCATTCAGAGGCATCTTGCTCAGCCTGCAGAGCATGAATTTGTGGGAGGTTCTTACTGGGGGTGCTGGAGCATCTATAAAAGGTAACCGAGAAAGAGAAATGTGTTATTTTAATTAAAAGATGTGTTGTTATTCTCAGAAGACTTTACAAACGAGGCATTTAATTCCAGTATAAATTACTCTACACATGCTGAACATTTTTGGGAGACCTGAATTCCAGGACATGGGCAATGCTGAAATACAGCACTAAACCTAACCTGGGTTTATTTTCTTTTGGTAGTAATTTTGGCTTTAAATTTTCCCCTTTCAGTCCATAGTACTTCCTTAAGGAAATAAAAACTTGTTAATCAAGAACACTTTTCTGCTGAGGAACTTCCACTTTAAGCAAGAAGTCAGCTGTGAATTTCTGGTTTTGGCACTTTTTAAGAGGGACTGTCCAGTTGGCAGAGGCAGATGGTACTACCCTTTCTTGTAGTATTTCCTCTATATCAGTTCTTTTTTGGGTTACTCTGTCTAACGTGGAATGTAAGATGTCCTAGAGGAAAAGCCTTACACACCCTGGGGGGTTCAAAGATAATTGGCCCTCTGTGCTATGAGCAGATCGGGAGGTGAGCTGTGCCCTCACTGAGTGTGTGAGATTCATCACTTACTGCAGGTAGTGATGGGAAAGAAACAGTGAACTCCTCCCTGAGCCATTTGCTGTGCTGGGCAGCCTTTACCCATCGGGAAGATCCTCTGTTCTCTGGCTGAAAATGGCTAAGAGGGTGCCGAGTGTGCCTCACCCCTCCACATCCATGGATGTGTCCTGTACGGATCTGCACCCGTGGAGGAGAAGGCAGCTGCGAGAAGCTGCTCTGCCGGGCAGGGGAGGGGTTTGAGGGCTTCTTCCTGCACGCTGAGAGCAAGCCCAGCGCAGGGGTCGGGGCCGGCGGGACCCACTTGGGACTCTGTTTAAGAGCGGAGCCGGGTGCGCTGCGAACCACAAGGCGCCTCCGCACGTTCGCCCTCATTCCGCGCGGTGGCGCCGCCGCAGCATCACTGCTTCCCATCCCCTAAGACGCCGGTTCGCGTCCCGCAAGTGTCCTAGCGCGGCGGGCTGCCCGTGCCCGGCGCGCATTCACCTCTTGCCAGAGGAGCCGCCTGGGCGAGTGCCCGGCCCCGGCGTGGGGTGCGGGTTCCACCGCCCAGCCACACACACCCTGTGCTGCCGCTCGCAGCCAGCCCGTTTTTATCGCCGCCGTGCTCGCCCGCGAGGGAGAGCCGCGTGTTCGTGCGGGGAGCAGCGCGGGTGCTGCTGAACGCTCTCCTGCCTTCCTGGAGAGCGACTGCCCCGCACACGGTCACTCGAAGCGGGCTGATGGAGAGGGGCCTGGCGGCGCGGGGGGAAGCAGGTGGATGCGAGCTAACGAGTCCCCTAACGAGGCTGAGCCGAGCCCCCCGTGCCAGAGGAGGCTGCACGCCCGAGCTCCGGCACCATCTGTACAAACACCGCTCTCGCTGTCTCCCGGCGATGCCAGGATTGAGTTCTGTTTGCAAAGCCCTTTGAAGAAGCCTGTTTCTGACTCTCGTGGTGTTTATTAAAATGCAGCTCTCCCCGCGGGACAGCGGAGCAGAAACAAAGCTGATCCGCGGGGAGCTTTCAGGGCCGGCACGGTGCTCTGAGCCGGGGCCGGCAGCCCGTGGCGAGGCCAATCCTCTCGGGGAGCTGGTGCGTGGGACTGGCCTTCGAGCAGCGACTGCTGAACTGGCCTCTGCTGAAATCAGCTCTGTGATGGAGCTTCAAAACAAAGCAGAACTTTACTGGTCATGAAAAGCAAAAATGTTTTGCTTTCTCACTGCATGATCGACTCCTTCCCGTTATGTAAGTGTTACTTTCTGCACATCTGTGTTATGGCTTGTTGATGTTTCCTCTTGATCAGCCTGATGTGTGGTTTGGTTTGTTGTAGTGAATGCTGAGCTGTTGCTGTTTGAGGATGGAAAAATCTCAGCGGGTGCTTGTCCAGCAAAGAGGACACTCTTAACCTGCAAAGTGCCCACCCCACGTCTTCTTGCAGCCTCAGCTGTATCACTCCACCAGTCCATCAGGAGATGGACTTGATGATTCTTGTGGGCTCCTTCCAACTCAGGTTATTCTGATTCTGTGCCTGCAGCAGCAGTTCACTGGATGAAAACTGCCCCGTGAAACAGCCAGGGAAGCAGCAGCTTAGTGCAACCCAGTTTAGCTCATTTGAGTTTAACTGGAGAACCAATAAAATAAAAGCTACTCTATTAAGTGAAATCAAAACAATAATATTTGGAAAGAGGTAAATTAATGGAAATGGGAAGATGACAGTCAGTCCCACCCTTTTCAGAGTGCGGGTCTGGACACCAAGGATGGTTACAGATCCACTGGCAGAACTGATGTCCTGTCCTGGCCCCCCAAAACCTTCCTGCTTGCCTTTGGGGGGACCCTGAATCGTGGAATGTGAAGGGTGATGGCTCATGGTGCACCCAGCCACTGGGGGTCTCTCTGCCACCATCACTAGCACTGGGAAAATCTGTATGTTTAGGGAAAATCTTTGAACAGAAGGTATTTACAGCTGTGTGCTGGATGGACAGTTGGTCACTCTGGGTCCTTCTGCTGCTTGAATCTTTCCACTTTGAAGAACAGATTGTTGTCTCAGGGGACCAACTCCAGACCTGCCAGGAACAGCTTCATTTCCAGGGGCTTCCAGGCTGCAAGCTCATGGATACCAAACTGACTTTAATTTGGGGTAATGATGCTAATCTGTGTTTTGCCCACTGATGCCATGAGGGCAGAACTGAACTAAGGGGATTTTTTGAGATAAATATGAGTTGTGGACCTATAGGAGAACTAAGAGGAAAAAGAGATGTGAAAAAAACCCCAAACACATACAAGCAAGGAACAGGGATGAAGATGCTGTTGTATAATCTGGGAATGCTGTTGCCTTGGCTTTTGGACAGTGGCAGCTCTGTGCCCATAATCACTGTGTGTAGATATAAAAACTGAGCATACAGGCTCTATGCTGTATCTTTTTGCTGTGAATTTTTTTTTCAGTCTAGGCCTTGATGTCTGCAGGAAATTGATATTTTCCAATTTTGCAAGATGCAAAACACTGATAACCTTTTGCAACCCTCCTCTCCCATCAGTGCTGATAGGAAACCAAGTCAGTGCAATAAAAGCTCATTTGTAACCCAGGGTTCACTCCGTGAGGGTCACTACAGATAAATAAAACTTCTCCCTGGCCCAAGCACAAACCGTGTCCCACAGTGGTCCCTTGGGCCACTATGCAGCTCCTCTTTCTTTTGCTAATGAATCAAATGCACTTTATTTAGCAGAGAATAATGGCCCAGGAGTGCAGTGAGGTCTGATCCCAGTGATGGCCATGGAGCACAGGGAGGGCACAGCCAGGGCAGCTGCAGCCACTGCTGGCACTGGAAATGGGGGTAATAGAGATGGAGCTCACAAGAAAACAAATTAATAATACGTTTTTTCCCAGCTGAAGTCCAGAAAAGCTGAGTGAACCAGCATGTAGCCCCTGCACAATGTGCTCGGCTGGGAAGCACTGGGGGCTGAGCCAGCATCCACCCTGCTGAGCCGAGAGGGGCCGGGTGGGATCGGACTGTCCAGGCAGGGACGTGACTTGTGTCTTGGAGGGGAATGTGCTGCTGGTCCCCTGGCCCCCCACACTGCCAGAAGTCTGTATCCTCACAAGAGAAGGAACAGACTGTGACACTGGCAGCTTATCATTCTTTGGAAGCTTTTTTTAACTTGCAAGGTTGATTCTGAGAGAAGAAGTTTTGTCAAGCTCCTTTGCTCCGGCATGTGACACACACTCGTACATGGGCTCCCAGCCTCTGGCTCAGGGGTATTTTGGGTAAGCTGAACCTGTTTTAGGCAGTTCCATTGTTTTAATGGCCTCAATTTTGCTTTCAGGTCATCAGCCAGCCATCCATCTGCCCATCCTCTCCATCACACACCACTACCTGAGCGATGAAGCAGCTTGTGCTGGCCCAGCCCGCTGTAGCGGCACTGAGGCAGCACAACAATTTTTTTTTGTAGTCATGATAACTTCTTATTCACTTTGCTGAGCAGTTCAAGAAAGGCAAGATAACCCCCCCCATGGCTTTCCCTGGGTCGGTGCTGTGCTCTCTTGGGCCCTGGCAGAAGGTGGGTGCTTTGCCAGCAGGGCCGGGCGGCCGCGGGGCCGGGCGCCAGGCGAATGCCGGATCCTGGCGTTGCCAGCGGCCCCCGGCAGTGCCCGGCAAAAGCCTTTGTGCCCATTCTGCTGTTTGAAAAGAGCTGCAGTGCTGATGCCCTCACCCTTCAGCCCCTGCCCGGGGTGGCTGTGGGGATTAACTGGTTTGTTGCTATTTGTGCAAAATTATATGTGTGCCGTTAAGGAAAGGGAGGAGAACGGATCCAAACACAGAGAAGAATCCACTCAGACAAGGGCACAGTCCTGTCTTATGCTGGTTGTAACACCACACTCTTCCTCTCTTAATGTCTTGTCCCCTCTGTGCCACTGATCCACCGCTTGCATAAAGTGGACAGACCCTTCTGGGGTCTGCTTTTTTGTCCGATACATTTGACTCCAACTTCCTTGATGCTCTAGGAAGCAGGATCAAGGAGTAGCAACTCTTCAGAGAGCTGATTGATTGTGAAAGGGAAGAGTTTTTCTGCTGAAGGTGAGTTCTATACATCTTTCATATATACAGGGCCAATTTACCCAAGATTTCAATACGAAAGCACTCAAATATTGAAAGTACTCAAAGGATGTTGGTGAAGTAATAAGGATATTGTTTTGCTTTCCCACTTTTCTCCTCACGACCCAGCTTCACTGAGCCTCCAGTTGT